GAAATTATCTTGGGATGGAAAGATTCCCGAATGGCGACTGCTCACCGGACCACGCTCAGTGGGTAGGCGCCCCAACCCACACTAGATGGATCGACGGTAAGGTCGCAGGAAGCCCCACGACAACGGCTAGCTAGAGTCGGGGTTCAAGTCTCAGAGACGCCTTCTAGTTGAGCCAACCTCCTCAGGTTCGAGTGGTCTAGAGGCTCCAGACGGAGAGGAGACTGAAGAGAGATGCCATCCGCCTAGAATACCTCTAGAGGCACTTGCCAATTCTCAACTTGAAGTCCCCTTAGGATCTCGCCGTCCCCAAACCCGGTGACGCTGTAGGTCTTCTACAACCAACAGCATACACACTCAAAAACAAGAACGCTGACCGCTGGATGACCGCTTGCTGCGGCCAGCTCAGAACCCATCAACATGGAGATCTTTGGGAGAGGCATGTGCAAAGCAGTGGGCAGGAGTTGAATGATGATACAAAAAACCATTAGACATTTTTTGTTGTTGTAAGGGTGGTAAACAAGCATAAGACCCGCCTGATAGTAAGGAGCCACCGTAGCCTAAGCTATTACTCTCACCGTTGCTTACCCTGACCCAATCCTCTGCCTCGTGGAGTCCTGGAACCTTACTCATCGACAGAAACACCACACCACCAAAAGGTAGTGTTATTTTACAGTGGTCTTCTGTAAGACGGAGGTCATTTCCCCAGACGAGCGCTCCAAAATCCGCTATTCCTTGCCTGTCTTAATGATTGGTGACCTGATTGGTGAACGAACTTATGATCATGACGATGGTTTCCAGCGATACCGGTCACCGGCAAGTTCTACGCAGCGCACGATCAGCTGAAAGCCGAGTCCAGGGAGCAAACGGAGAAGGTGGACAACTATCACAGCAACGTGGCGCAGACCAGGGCAAAGGGGCCACGCAGCAAGTATCCCGCGCCAGCCACAGAGAACCAGGTGTTAGTATCAAGACTAGGTACAGCTAATGGAAAGCCTATATACTGAAGGCTAATTCCAGGTAGCACACGGAGGAGGACATAGCAAATTTTCTGCTCGAATTTAAGCGGCAGTCTGGGTAAGTAACCTCCAACTTGTACAACACCACAGATTTTTTTTGTTAGTATTTTTTCTGTTGTGGAGTAAGTTTCCAAGATTATATTGGCGGTAGCAAGACGCGGGAGCGGTATCACTGCGTCGTCGTTAGAAATCTTTTGCATGTTCCGCCGAGACAAGGCAGAGAAGCGTGAATGTTGTGACGTCGGAGCCAGTGTTGCCGTTTTAGCACTTTCAGCACTAGATCATTTCTAAGAGGTCTTCAGTGCATTTTAATTCACAACAAGACACAGTGGCGGATTTACCAGTAGGCTGAGTAGGCTGGAGCCTAGGGCAGCAAATTTTAGGGGGCGGCAAATTTAGCCCAATTTTTTTTTTATCTTACTGAAATAAAAAATGAACATTATTATACACACAAAGAAACGAGTGTCATTATTTTCGTAATGCACAGTATACTGAACACTTTTACGTCCGTAATCCGTATATAAAAGATTACTAAACGCACTGTAAAATATAGGTACTTATGCGATCATGGATTTTTAAAATGTGTATTCCAATAGCGTTTCAATATTAAATTACAATTTAAATTTAGTAACTTTAAAGTAAGTAATGTTAAAGGGAAAGTTGCAATATCAGAATAAATATGATTGTGAACTAAACTAGCGTATTGAATTGCAAAGGGCGGCAAAAATTTAATAGCCTATTAGCGGCAAATTTGTAAATCCGCCACTGACAAGACACTACAAAAAATCTAGTACAATCTAGTGGGAAATTTGACATAGAGTGAACCGTTTATTCGTCCATTTAATTGATCGTGTATAGGACTTAAATCAGGCCTACGTTGCCACCGACTAACTGTAGCCACTATTCCAACGCGTACAAAGAAGTTTAGTGACTCATTTCTTAGTCGCACTATCCGTAAATGGAAAGCTCTATCCGCTCACGTGTTCCCTCCCTCTTACAACCTGGGATCCTTTAAAAGAGACGTGAAGAAGCAACATGCAGGCCGGCAGGGTGAGGATGGCTGGTGTGGCAGGTAGGACTGCTATATCAGCTATCTTCGCGTCTGGACTTCACCGTCACTTAACATCAGATGGGATGGTCATTTATCGGACCTATCTATAATACATAAAAATCTTCTACTCTAGTAGTTCTTTCTACTAGAGTACACTGTCTTCGTGGCTGGTTTCCAGGTAAATTTGCTTCTCACACCTTCTTTTAGTTTATACAACAACAAACTAAAATTGTCATTGTATCATGTCATGTATTAGCCTTTATTACGTTTCAGATACGGTTGGAACTACAAGCCGCTGGTGCCTATGGACCGCAACGACCGCCGCTTCTACCACCCCATGAGGGAGAGCAAGCACACCAAAATAGAAATCATCATACTCATGTCGAACCCCAGGAAAAGGAAATAGAGATTGCGCACGTTTGATCGACTTTGTGTTTTACAACCCTGTACTACTTGGGGTTGGGTTACTGGAGGTTGATAGACAGGGGATTTCTTAATTAAAAAAACTGGTACCCTGTTTCCACAGATCGCTGTGGCCTTATTTATTCGAACAGGTTTTACTAGCACCATATTTCCAAACCAAATGGGACACATGAAAAACAAAGCAAGCATTCTTTAAGGCTGAACACTTTTAATCAATTCCTGTAATGGCATGTAGCTGAAACTGGCAGACATTGTAGCAGATTATAAACTTTTAATCTACTTATTTACTTTTGAAACGTAATTCTGGAGACTCTTTTGGTTTTTTTTTAACACTTATTTATTTATTACATTTTAAGTTGATGAATATAACATAATTGTGATGTAGAGGAATCGATAGTTGGGAGAGTAGCCCCATCAGAATCCGAGGCCGCGTCGAGATGCAGCCAGGGAGGTCCAATTGGTGAGAAAGACAGGGAGAGGAGAGGACGGCTTAATAATAGTGAGAGGCGAAAGAAGAAGAGGAGAGGAAAGGAAACGAAACAGAAAATAAATCAAATGTTTAAAGGATGGGAGTAAGAGTGTAAGGAAATAGGTTTAACAATCTTGCATGATTTACAGCCATTGACGAAATACATTCAATATTAAATGTCTCACAGATAGACGCCGCCCGCGGCCGCGGCCGGAGTCGTGGTGGTTTTAATTATTTATTTAAGTCCAATACTTTTTGATAATCTACCTGAAGTTAGTCATCATCCCTATTCCGAAATGTTTGTGTTCTGAGGAATTGTTCGGATTAATACCAGCTGCTCAAGGAGCTCGATGGCGCAGGTGGTAAGCGCGTTCGGCTGCGACCGTTGAAGTTAAGCAATTTTTGTAGTGGTCGGTCATTGGACGGGTGACCAAAAATCATCTATCTCGAGTTACTCCGTGCTTCGGAAGGTACGGTCCCGGCTGCTTGTGCAGTCGTTAGCACCACGCCAATCTGCACTGGGCCCGCGTGGTGGGTCATGGCATGGCCCAATCTCCCTATTCCATCCATAGGGAAGCCCTGTGCCCCAGCAGTGAGGACATTAATAGGCTGATGATGATGATGAATACCAGCTGCTGTTTTTCCTTCCCAATCGTACATCGATATTGCCGAAGTTCCTCCCATTCGCACGATGCGATTTGCTTCGGCCTTCATTATACGAACGGCTGGGGAGTGGACCTTCTTGCCGAGGTCTGTTTTCCCGGACCAATAAAATCTGGACATCTTCAAGGCCAGAGTGAACAGGCATCTTCTAGGCAGGCGTGTACCATCCTAGGCATCATCATCACTTTCCATCAGGTGAGATTGTGGTCAAACGCATTGCCTATTTTACATAAAAAAAATCGCAATAAAAATGTCAACCCCACCATCTTGATGCGTGGCTTTGTGGATACAACCTTACAATTTTGTCGTTTTTTTTACCAATTACAACAAAAGTGTGGAATACATTGTCACCAGCAGTATTTCGGGATCAATACGACTTGAAAATCTTCAAAAAAAGATCGTGCTCCTTCCTTAGAGGCCGGCATCGCATTTTTGATACTCCAGGTGTTGCGGGTGTCTATGGGTGACGGTGATCACTTACCAACATGTGAGCTCGTATGCCAAATATTTATTTATTCACAAAAAAATACTTCAATGGTAAAGCATGCATCACTTGCTATCGATCGTCGCATTGTTGCTAATTTCAAAAACCCATGAGTACGTCCACACAAAATTACTTGCCTTTTTATTTACTTTCTATTTATCTTTTCTATAAATGTATAAGTTTGTCAAAATGATGATTGAAAGTGCTCACTTCATGACAAAAATAAAAAACTAGAGTTGTACTCTTAAACTACCTACTTACCAGGCATTTGATACGGAACTATTCAAGTATTGTAATAATTATGCCGGGCAAACTTAATTATGTATTCATAAATAATAAATTATGTATTCATAAATTAATAATAGCGCTGGTAAAATAACATTGGCCGATCTCAGGATTGAATCACCGATCTTTTGGTTTCAACCCCAAGGTCGATTTCATTCCGCTATCCGTCTCTTGCAGCGTGTTACAAAATTACGGATACCTTGTGTCCAATACTCTACTTCCGTTTCATCGAATCTCAAGTCACAACGACACTAAAGAAGTCTTCACTTCAAAAACCAGCAAAATATTATCCCATTAGGTTTTATAGAGCACTAGTGGCCTGCCCTCGCTTTGTTTCGGTATTTTATCCCCTTGGGGGTAGAATTGATCAAAATCCTTTCTTAGCGGATGCCTACGTCATAACATCTACCTGCATGCCAAATTTCAGCCCGATCCGTCCAGTGGTTTGGGCTGTGCGTTGATAGATCTCTATGTCAGTCAGTCACCTTTGACTTTTAGATATATAGATTTTGCCACCTGTTGCCTACTTCTTCTGGCAACCTACATCACGTGCTCCATAAATTGAAGCATTTTCAGTTAAGAAAGAAAAAATAAAAGCTTTTTATTTATATTCGGGTATTTTTATTCTTTAATGTCCTTTTCTTTTGACGCGCACTGGTTCCATGACTTCACAGCGTTCTTCTTGAAATCATCCCTCCCCAGTGGTTGCAGGTGAGCTGCTGCTACACGATCCCTGGGACAAAAAAAGGCGTCAGTGTTGTCGAACACACGGTTGGAACGAATAAAAAATATTTTTAATCTAGCCACCAATCCACACTGGGCCCGCGTGGCATTTGCAGTCCAATCTCTGTTCCTTAAAAATAAAGTATCCTACCCACCAATAACACTGGGGCCTCGTGGTGAGTCATGGCCCAGCTGCCCATTTAGCTACCTAGCTAACTGCCTCACTAGGTTGTGATGGAAAAGGACAATGGGCCAAACACACCCAGCTCCGCCAACAATGTAATTATTATGAATCGATAGATCTAGGAAAAACTAGCCTTTTTTATTATGACACCGTAAAAAAATATCCTGGGAGTCAAAAGATATGACACCGTAAAAAAATATCCTGGTAGTCAAAAGATACATGGGCATATTTAAGTAGCTAATAAAATTCATTTTATAGTACCTTTATTTTATTTTATTAGTAACTAACCATTAGTATATGCCATATCGTACTATATAACTGCGCTTGCACTTACTGAGACATCTTAAAACGGTTTACGGGGGATGAAGGACTTGCAGTTGCAAATAGTCGACTCGTGTTACTTCGTTGTGATTGTGCGCAGTCGCTACCCTGCTACTTGATTGATTTTTATCTAACACGCTCTGGACATTAGAACACGATTATCGGTTTTGTCAATTAGTCTGGATGAACTGGAATCATGTTTTCTCCGAATCGTGGATCCACACACAAACTTGTGTGATTTGTGTTCGCTCTGTTTTACATAGAAGATAATATACTATAACGAACAGAATGTTTGAAAAAACCCTGCTGAAAATGCGGGGTTTTTCGGGTTTACTCTAGCGCTGCAGAATAACATAAGTGACATAAGTGACCCACCTTGTGAAGTACTCCAATAAAACCTGAGCCCCCTATTTAAAGTCGAACTAACTAACTAAATGAATTCCCTTGTTTCATTAATGTTCCTTCGTATAGTCCTTGTACCTATAAAATAACTTAAAATAACTTAAGACCCCCGGGATGGAATTTAATGCGCTTTGGCACAGATGATCATGACTGTAATACCTTTCAAACAAATGTAGTTTAAGCCGTGGCGGACGTGGGTGCAGCGTCCATACATTTTTGTCCAATGTCCTTTATTTAAAAAAAAAGTGTAACCGCCACATCATACGAAAAGGAACTTCAATCCAATATACATATATTAGAATAAATAGCAGTGTTCCTGAACTTCCACCTACTAGATAATAATAGCCAATCAAACAACGCAACATACTACAATCGAACCAATCACACAAGTTTTGGTCAAGTTATGAGAATTTACTCACACATGACTGTGGTGCGCCGCCCACCATCTAACTTCTTTCTGTGTTCTTTGTCTACCATATTATCCAGACGATAATTCTTTGTACCGCTTCCGTGCAGTTAATGCGATAATAGGGCAGACCAAGACCACGGCGTTTCGGGGTTGACAAAGTCTGTTCTCTATTCAAGTTACATAAACAACCTAATAATAAGAAAGAAAGTGGGTAAATGAAAATAAAATTACTATTTATATACTATTATTATCATACACAATCAAAAGCTTTTAATATTTTTTCTAAGAGATTTTTGTGCTTAATTTTTATTTTAGATGGCTCTATAATAATTTAAACTATTGTCTCATCGAATACTAAAAAACTATTAAAAAAAAAAACAATGTAAATTTTCAAAATGGTGTAACCTATTTACTAAGAAAAGTAACAATTTTCAATATTTCTTTTCTAAAAAACTACCAGTTCAATAATTTGGACACTGTTTAATAATGTGGTAAACAGAAACTTTTTTAACAACTAGAATGCGGATTTGCAAGCAACATAACTGTGAAGTTTTTACTTTTGGGCCTTATTTTTTTTATTACGCAGGTAAAAAATCTTTTTACAGACGACGGCGCCTTTAAGAGGCACACCGCCGAACGGACCTCATACCTGGCTCCCGCAAGTCTTACGGACCCCCCAGTGGCTGCCCACTGAGGACCCTGCAACTCTTACGGGCGCTTTACAGCATAACATCCGCTAAAAAAGTCCTGCGAATACCTTCTACACTGCTTAATGCGAAGCCGCGGGGTCCCCGTTAGAGATTCAACCACGGCTACTTTTGGGCCCTGGAAATACAGTATATCTCGGTATCTAGGGTGTCTTGGATCAAAGAGTCGAACATTGACAAAGTAATAGAGAGTCAGATAAAATAACTCACGCGAACTCTTCGTAAGTCTTGGCCGTGTATATAGCGTCGCACTTCACATTGTTCACTCTCCAGTATCTTCTGTCTTCCTCTACGGAGCTCTTTAGCTGCCCCTCCATAGCTGCTATGTCCTCTTGACTCAGAGGCTGATCCATCTTCTAAAGGAAATAATAAACTCTGGCACTCCACAATAGATCGATCAATTTGCTAGACAATAACTTATTTATCTTGAGTCTTTAAGGTTTAAACTGAAAGAATTCAGAATAATTATTGTAATTTATTATGCTGAGTATAAATACGGTTAATTAAAGCTATTATAACTTAACTCTGAGACTTGTAACACCGTTGCTATAGTAATCGATAAATCGTTTTGTCGTTCGTTTCCATGCCAACAGTTTTTTTTTTCTAAATTTTACTCTCTGGCTATAAAGATGATTCTGAAGATAAAGTGTACCCTTTGATATAGGTACTTTACTATAAACACGTGGCAGTGTGTGTGTGTTGCATTGTTTGTTTTCTACACCTAACTCAGCAAGACCTAGCTTCACAAAGCCTACACCTTACAGAAAATTTTACTAGAAAAAATTCCACGCGGACCAGGCAGCAGTCAGGAACGAACCGCACCCTCCGCTATCCGGACAGATGCACAGACCATTATGCTACCGAACCCTAATTGTCCGTGTCGAATTTTCTCTAGTGTTTCATAGACTGCAGGCAGCGCCATCTCTTCGCATTGTAGGTAAACTACAATGTCAAATGAATACCTTGTTACGATTCCACGTAGAAGGGAATACGCCGAGTTAGCAGTCACCCACAAAACAGTGCACACGGCCCTAAAAGCTGATTCAGCGAAAGATCGCATATCGGTCGCTGCAATTGACGCAACTGGCGTAAACTGCTGACTACGAGCCTCGTGCCTCCACCGCAGCGGGCTACGTGACCGGACGAGGAGCGTCACTTCGATTCTTACATCGATCGAGTCGTGACTTAAAATAATTAGATTATATTTTAATTGTAATAATTTTCCTTGTATCGGAAATTAAAGTTAGTTTTAGTAAAATAAAATTGGTTTTTTTTGAGGCCTCCGGTCGTGGCTAACGTAATTGGCGCAGTCGGTAGGATTCCCGGGTCGTCGCGTAGCCTATTGGGAATCACGGAATCGGGTTCGCGCCGCGCTACGATAGACTTTCAAGTCCTCACCGGGATCCTGCATATCGAACGGGCCTGCGCCGGAGTATCCGAAAATTGATAGCAGCTCAAGAAAGACCGAGATAATATGTTTATGTGAGTACACCTCTGATTTTTCTCTAGTGTTGCTCTCCCTTTAGTCCTTAAATTTCTTATTTCCCGTAGTTATAATAGTTTTTCAAGATTTTTCACCCAAGAAGTAATAGGGCCCCTAAGGCTTTAAGGCATACTAGGGTTACCCGAACCATTATCGATAGAAATAGGAATATCGATAGTGACTTAGAGAGTAGTTTTAGCTATAGTACAATAAGCGAAGTTACAATGGCTGATCCTGATGTTATTATAAAGGCCTTACGCCTGGTGCCAGATTTTGATGGTAACCCAAACGTGCTTACGAGATTTGTGAGATTATGTGACCAGATTGTAGAAACTTATAGTGACCAGTCAGGCGAAATAGGCAAACTTTTTATTATTAATGGTATCCTTAATAAAATAACGGGACCCGCAGCTAGGACAATAAACTCCAACGGAATTCCTGAGACTTGGGATGGGATTAGAAATGTGCTGGTAAATAATTTCACTGACCAGAGGGATGAGACCACCCTCTACAACGACCTAGCTGTGCAGACCCAGGGGAGCAACACCCCTCAAGAATTTTACGATAAATGCCAAACCCTCTTTTCTACCATCATGACGTACGTCACCTTACACGAAACCATACCTACAACAATTGAAGCAAAACGTGACTTATATAAAAAGCTTACGATGCAAGCTTTTGTACGCGGACTTAAGGAACCTTTAGGTTCTCGTATAAGGTGCATGCGTCCTGATACAATCGAAAAGGCATTGGAATATGTACAAGAAGAGTTAAACACCATGTATTTGCAAAATCGTAATGAAGCCTTACCAAAGACTGTTCAGAACGCGTCTAATTATAGACCTCCCGTACATATGCCAATGCAAAATGCTTATGCCGTTCCGAAACCGTTTTCTTTCCCTGTAAAATTCCCAAGCATGCAAGCTCCACCCCCTCGCTTTAATAACAATTTTCCGCAGAAACCTCACTTCCAACAACCCATGCCACCACCTCCCATGCGTATGCCCACGCGCACTCAACAGATGTTCAGTGCACGTCCTAATAACTATAACCCGCAAAGCAACATGTTTAGAATATCGCCTAGACCTAATTTCAATTTTAATTCTAATATTCCTAAGCCTATGAGCGGAGTAAGCCACTTTACGCCTCGAGTTTTACCCCCAACTGGGCACGATTGGACTAAGCATGGTAATCCACCACCATCAAATTATTTCAAAACTCGCGACGTAAATGTGAACGAGTGTACCCCTTACGATGACTATTCTAATTACTATTACAATGACTACTATGACACTGACCCTTACTATAATATGCCTGAGCCTTACCATGTTTATGAATATAATGATCCAAACCAATGCCAATATCAAGTTGAGGAACTACCACAAACTGATGAGTGGTATAGCCACGTAGAGGAGCAAGACCAGCCCTCTACGTCCTCTAAGTCAGAAGACCAGGATTTTCGGAAGGACAGGAAATTAAAAAACTTAAAATAGAACTGAACCTTCAAACACAGAGGCAGCTACCCTATGTTCTTATTGCCAATCCGCCTCTTAAATTATTAATAGATACAGGTGCCAATCAATCTTTTCTGAGCCCTGAAGCCGTAAGCTACTTTTATCCTCACATACAACTTGATTATGACCCCTTCGAAGTATCTAATATACATGGAACCAGTAGAAATGATCATTCAATAACTATTCCTCCTTTTCCTGAGTTTAGAGACGAAACAGACATAAAATTTTTCGTATATAAGTTTCATGACTATTTCGACGGACTGATTGGACTAGACCTTTTGACTCAATGGGAAGCGACCATAGACTTAAAAGACCTATTACTGACAACACGAACTACCACGAACCCTATTAGAATGTATAACTCGCGGAACGTAAATCTCTACGAAGATATAATACCGGCAAAATCATCAAAGTTAATACGATTACCTATTAACGCCGCCGACGGACAAGTAATAGTTAACGAACAAGCTATTTGTAACTGCATAATTTCCGAATGCCTCACGTATAATAAGGATAGTCGCGGTATAGTAGAAGTAACGAACCCAACTAACAATGACCTTATATTTTCATTAGATCGCCCAGCAGTAGCAGAGTTATTTAACACCGAAGCTTTTGATGTTAAGTATGCAAACTCTGAAACTACTAACAATTCGCGTGTTAAAGATGTTATCTCTCGCCTAAGAACAGATCACTTAAATCCTGAAGAGGAAACGAATCTTATACAACTTTGCTCTCAATATTCCGATATATTCTATCTCGAAGGTGAACCCTTAACTTTCAGTAATAAGATAAAACACTCAATTAAGACTACCGATGAGATGCCCATCTACACAAAGAGTTACCGCTATCCTTTTGTACATCGTGATGAGGTTCGCGAACAAATTGCAAAAATGCTAGATCAGGGAATAATACGTCCCTCAGAATCTGCATGGAGCTCTCCCATCTGGATTGTTCCTAAGAAAGCTGACGCATCAGGTAGACAAAAGTGGCGTTTAGTTGTCGATTTCAGAAAACTAAACGAAAAGACAATTGACGATAAGTATCCCATCCCCAATATAACAGACATCCTTGATAAACTGGGCAAGTGCCAGTACTTCACGACCTTGGACTTGGCTAGTGGATTTTATCAGGTACAAATGAACCCTGATGATATTCACAAAACCGCATTCAACGTGGAGCACGGACACTTTGAGTTCATGAGGATGCCCATGGGTCTCAAGAATTCTCCATCAACCTTCCAAAGAGTGATGGATAATGTCTTGAGAGGGCTTCAGAACGTCATTTGCCTTGTGTACCTTGATGACGTCATCGTTTTCAGTACCAGCCTCCAAGAGCACATGGTGAATCTTGAGAAAGTGTTCCAAAGACTGAGGGAATCTAACTTCAAGATCCAGATGGATAAGTCTGAGTTCTTGAAGTTAGAGACGGCGTATCTTGGACACATCATAAGTAGGGATGGCATTAAGCCGAACCCAGATAAAATAAAAGCAATTGAGAACTACCCCTTGCCTAAAACCACCAAACAGATCAAACAGTTCTTAGGATTACTAGGGTATTATCGTAAATTCATTCCGGACTTTGCCAAAATTACTAAGCCCCTAACTCAGTGTTTAAAGAAAAACAAGTCAATAAATTTAGATTCGCAATACGTAGCATGTTTTGAAAAATGTAAAAAGTTACTCACTAATGATCCCATATTGCAATACCCAGATTTCACCCGTGAATTTAACTTAACAACTGACGCCTCAAACCTCGCAATCGGTGCCGTTTTATCACAAGGGCCCATAGGCACAGACAAACCAATTGCCTATGCCTCTCGGACCCTTAACGAAAGTGAAATAAACTATAGCACAATTGAAAAAGAATTGTTAGCTATAGTTTGGGCCACTAAATACTTTCGGCCTTACTTGTTTGGACGAAAGTTTAAAATAATCACCGATCATAAACCCCTACAGTGGCTTATGAATTTGCGAGAGCCAAATTCTAGACTCACGAGATGGCGTTTGAAACTAAGCGAGTATAACTATACCATTCTTTATAAAACCGGAAAAGCAAACACCAATGCCGACGCCCTATCTCGTGTAGAAATCTATAACGAAGAAACTGACTCCATGGCTGTGAATCCCTCTGAAATTCCTCCCTCTATAAGTAAAAATTCTGAAACTGACACAGTTCATACTGACCAGGAACATCCCATACTCGAGGTACCAATTACCGACGACCCTTTGAATAGATTTCACCGACAACTTTGCTTGACTATTGTAGGGGATATAAAAAAACGAACGACAGTAACCAAACCTTTTGACAGTCACACGCGTATTTCAGCTCAACTGTCTGAATCTAATCTGGAAGAAGACGTGGTAAACGTAATCAAAGAATACGTCAACCCAAAAGTTAAGACTGCCCTTTTCATTACACCCCCATTAGGCATATACAAAATAGTTCCTATCTTACAAGACAAATTTAAGAATTCAGCAATGAACCTGGTTATAGCAAAATTTGAGCTGGAAAACGTTAAGGAATACTTACGTCAACAGGACATCATACGACACTATCATGAGGGAAAAACTAATCACAGAGGCATCAACGAATGCTATCTATCCCTATCTCGCAAATATTTCTGGCCCAAAATGAAGGAAAATGTTACTAAGTTTATCAACGAGTGCACTATCTGCGGCCAAGCAAAGTACGATAGAAACCCTATTAGGCAACAATTTAATATTGTGCCTCCTGCCTGTAAACCCTTTGAAATTGTCCACATGGATCTTTTTACTGTTCAAGGAGACAAATATATCACCATGATTGATGTCTTCTCAAAGTATGGTCAAGCCTACCATCTCAGAGATGGTACTGCGCTAAGTGTAATTCAAGCCTTACTACAATATTCTACCCATCATGGTCTACCCCTCACTATCGTCACTGACCAAGGCACCGAATTCACTAATCAAATGTTTGCAGAATTCACTAGAGTCCATAAAATCAACCACCACAAAACCCTTGCGAATGCCCCCAATGATAATGGAAACATTGAGAGATTCCACTCCACCCTTTTAGAACACCTTAGGCTATTGCGCCTTCAAAATAAGGAAGAAGCAACCGTTAACCTCATGCCCTATGCTATAATAGCATACAACAGTTCAGTCCACAGTTTTACCAAGTGTAGGCCGTATGATCTTATAAATGGACATCTTGACCCGAGAGACCCCACTGACATAGACTTAACAGTACATCTCATGCAACAGTACATTAATGTTCACCGTGACCAAATGAAGACAGTTTACGACTTTATTAACGACTCAAGTTTAGCTAACCGTACTGCCATAATTGAAAGACATAACAAAACACGTGAACCTGAAGAAGAGTATCAGCCTCAGCAACAAGTTTTCATCTCGAATCCTTTAGCAAGCCGACAAAAACTAGCCCCACGTTATACTCACGACAAAGTACTAGCCGACTTACCTATACATATTTATACTTCAAAGAAACGCGGTCCCATAGCAAAATCTAGATTAAAACGTGTACCAAATAGCGCTAAATTGTTACAGGATAACGCTGACTCTAACCTTGACCCTGGGACTAGCGGAGGAGATAAGACTTGAAAGTTTGGATGACGGCCCTGGACTTTTACCGTTTAGAC